CTCCTGGACTTTCCTGCTCAGTCTGTCTTCAAACTGTGATCCTCAGCTCTCAGCCTTCTGAACAGCTAGGATGACAGGCGTGAGTCCCCAGCACTCAGCTCGAGGACCACTTCTTTGATGGAGTACACCTGAGAGACACATTGCCCAGCTGAACCCCTCCTATGTACCCGGACTTTGACCTTGCATATGTCCTCTTGAGTCATCCTATAACCACCTGATCTTCAGTTACGTTCCCATGTTGCCATCTCTGAGAAGCTGAAGGCTTGCCAGGGCACTCTGCCAGTCCATGTGGCACCCCTACAAATCTGATAGCAGAGAGGCAATGCCCTGAGCTCCTGCCCTTCCTGCCCATAGAGTCCATCAGCAGCTACGAGGCCCAAATCACAGCCTTGAAGCAGGAACGGCAGCAGCAGCAACAGAACTGTGAGGAGAAGGAGCGGGAGCTGGGCCACCTCAAGCAGCTGCTCGCCCGCGCCCACCCCCTGGACTCCTTGGAGAAGCAGATGGAAAAGGTAGGATGGCCTGGCCTAACAGCATTTGGAGCGCTTGTGAGAAATGGCAGCGTCCTGTCATCCGTCACTGCATGATTCCAGGTAGAGCATAGCGCTACTGTGTAATCAGGGACTTGGGAAGGATTTGGTTTGTTCTTTGCTAGTGAGTTGATCAAGTGTATCCCTCCCAAAAAGCCAGAAGTGGAGCTGTGGCTCCAGTGGTAGAGTGCTAGTCTTAAGAGAAAAAAAAAAAACTCAGAGACAGTGCCCAGGTTCTGAGTTCAAGCCCTAGTACATAACAGGGGACCTGGAAAGAAAAGGCTTCCTGTCCACAGTCCTGCCCTCCGCTGCTGCTACTGCGTCCAGGGTTCCTTCACGACCCTGGCACTGGATGGCTTGGCCCAGACGCAGCCCCTCTGGGGCCAGAAGGAGCAGTAGTAAGGCCGATTCTGGAGCTCCCCCTACATTGAGCCGCCATGTGCCCATGGCATGGGCCAGGACTTTAGGTGGAACCAGCCCTCTCTATAGACTTGGAGGCTAAAGGAGCTTGTGCGGGAGTCTGAGTGACTCAAGAGGTGGAAGCAGCGTGGGGCGGTGGCCGGTAGACGATGACTAGCAGCTTCCTGCCTCTGGGCCTGGGTGGGAAGCAGGCGCTCCTCACCGCCCAGCCCTGGGATGGGTGAGGCAGTTGTGGGTTTGGTTTGGCGTTGATTCTGTGAGGTAGAGGAGCCAAGCAGAGATGGCCAGAGACTGTTGACTCTGCAAGTTCAGCAGGATCCCAGAGACAGAGAGGAAATGGTCAGCCTTCTACTTAGGACTTGAGGGAGGGAGGATGTGTCAGGTAAGATGAGGGTTGATGGCAGGTGATTAAACACTCAATTTAGCACACACACACACACACACACACGTGCACACGCAAGTTGGATGTTAGTGAAGAAAGCTATGGTTTGTAAGAGGGCAAGGAGACAGGATGCTTTCCTGACTTAGGCCCTGGAACAAGGCCCACCAGCCCTCAGACCCCCGTGTTCTTCCAACTGCATTGGATCAGACAAAAAGATCAGGAAGATTCCAGGAGCTGTGGGGCTGAAGGAAAGCCTGGAGCAGACCTGAGGGTCCAGCTCGTTGCCCTCCCCATCCCCTGCAGGCCCACGAGGACTCAGAGAAGCTGCGGGAGATTGTGCTGCCCATGGAGCAGGAGATCCAGGAGCTGAAGGCGAAGCTGCTGAAGGCTGAGGAGCTGATCCAGGAGATCCAGGTGAGGGGAGCCCGGGGGTGCCCAGGGGAGGAGGGCACCCCCAGGACGCAGCCCTCAGCTTCTTCCCCGCATCGTTCCCTAGAGACGACCCCGGCTGCCCCCTGCTCTACATAGCTCTGCAGAGACACTGCCGCTGTCCCGAAACCCATCTCCCCCACTGGAGCCCCTGGAAGAGCTGAGCGGAGATGGGGGGCCCGCGGCTGAGGCCTTCGCCCACAACTGTGATGACAGCGCGTCCATCACCTCCTTCTCGCTGGGAGGGGCCGGCAGCAGCGCCTCCCTGCCCCGTGGACGCCAGGGCCTGAGCCCAGAGCAGGAAGAGACGGCCTCTCTGGTATCCACTGGCACCCTGGTCCCTGAGGGCATCTACCTGCCCCCTCCTGGGTACCAGTTGGTGCCAGACACTCAGTGGGAGCAGCTACAGGTGGAGGTACGTGGACTGGGCAAGCAGCTTGTGGGCATCTAGCTTCGATGAGTCCAGAGCCCATGCTAGAGCAAGAGTTGGGGTGCCACAGGACAGGAGAGCAATACCTCTCAGGGAACCGAGCCAGGCACAGACACAGACTTGAGAGGCATTATCATGGAGTGAGATGCCCACAACAAAACTAGAGCAGCAAGCGGCACAGGGCATGCCTAATGCGTGTGCGGCCCCAGACTCGGCCTCAGTTCCACCACAAAGAAATTGGAGGAGGTGTGAGAAACTGGCAAAATGGGAGACTCACAAGGACTGGAGCTGAGGTCTGGATGGTGGGGGAAGAGGCTGTTGGGAGGGGCAGTACTAGGGTTTAAAACTCGGGGCCTCCTGCTCACTAGGCAGAGGGCTCTTGTCATTTGAGCCACAGCTCCAATTTGGGCTTTTAGCTGGTTAATTGGAGATAAAAGTCTCAGGTACTTTTTTGCCCGTGCTGGCTTCAAAGCGCAATCCTCGGATTTCAACCTCCTGAGTTGCTGGGATTACAGGCATGAGCCACCAGCATCTGGCTCAAGTGGTAGAGTTTTGATAGACATCCAAGGTTCTGGTTCATTTCCCAGTATTACCGAGAGAGAGAGAATGTGTCAGACAGACAGACAAGAATTAAGAAAGGTAGAGATGAGACCAGGAGATGGTAAAGAGACGGTAGCAGAGACCAGAAGGGCTGTGGACTTGGCACCCACTTTGGAGGGATCCTGGGCGGGCAGGGCCTGCTGAGTGCTCGTTGTGGTAATGAAGGTCAGGTTGACACACTCCTGGCAAACAGCGTGTGCCTCATGGCTCGGCTACCCTTTGGAGGGGAAACCTGGAGACTGAGGCATGCGTCTGTGGCAGGGGCGGCAGCTGCAGAAGGACCTGGAAACTGTCAGCCGGCAGCGGGATGAGCTGCAAGAGGGCCTGAGGCGGAGTACCGAGGACTGTGCCAAACAGGTGGGTCCCAGCTCTGCGCCCGCCCCTGCCTGGCCTCCGGCCGCCCGCTGCGCCCTCCGAGTTCCCTGATCTCTCTCTGCCTCTTTCCATCCCCAGATGCAGGTCCTCCTGGCCCAGGTCCAGAACTCAGAGCAGCTGCTCCGGACCCTGCAGGGCACCGTGAGCCAGGCCCAGGAGCGCGTGCAGCTGCAGATGGTGAGTGCCTGGCAGGGCGGGAGGGTGGGCAGCACTGGGGAGGGTCTGGGGAGGCCTGGGCCCTCCTCCCTGCAGCTCTGGTCTTTCTCTGGAAATAGTGCCTGGTAGGTAAAGGGTTTGGGGATCATCTAGCAGTAGAGTTCTCATTTTCCTTGAGCTTAACCTTGAGCTTGTCAGGCAGGTGCTCTTACCACGGAGCCACACTGCCAGCCCTTTTTACCTTATTTTTTCAGGTAGGGTCTTGCACTTTGTTCGTAGGGCCTGCGTCAGACTATATAGTCCTCCTACCTACTGTCTCCCTGTCGCTGGTATCACAGGTACCTACCACCATACCGAGCTTGTTGGTTGAGAAGGGTGTCTCCATAATGTTTTCCTCGGATGAGGCTCAATACCTGGCCCCCAGTCTCTGCCTTCCAAGTAGCTGAGATTGCAGTCATGAGGCACCACACCTGTCTGAGCGGTGTGTTCTTGAATCAACTCCACGCTTCACTAGCTGGAAAACCGAAATAATGGACCTTAGTTTGCAGATACTTGCCAAGGCCAGAGGGGAGGGCTCAGTGAGTAAACAGGGGTCAGATGTGAGGCTGGGGGTGCAGACGAAGGACGTGTGGGAAGGGGGTCCCATCCCATAATGACACTGTTCCCGCCCTGAGGTGTGGGCTCCAAGAAGCCGGCTGTTCTGATTTTGCAAAGAAAAATAGGAATCCGGATTGTGGACATATTGTGTCTTTATGTATTTGTTTTTGTCTGTCAGTCCTGGGGTTTGATTTCAGCACCTGGATGGCGTCCCTGAGCTTTTTTTTTTTTTTTTTTTTGCTCAAGGCTAGCACTCTACCGCTTGAGCCACAGCTCTACTTCCATCCTTTTAGTGGTTAATTTGAAGATAAGAGTGTCATGAATTTTACTGCCCGAGCTGGCTTTGAACAGTGAAGTGATCCTCAGATCTCAGCTTCCTGAGTAGCTAGGATTATAGACATGAATTTCAGGTGCCTATACGTGTGCGTGCGTGCATGTGTGGGGTGTGTGTGTGTGTGTGTGTATGTGTGTGTGTAATATATTGAAGAAAACTTTTCAGTATTGGGGTCTCATGATTGCTCAGGCTTGCTTCTTCATAGCTGGTGTTCTACTATGTGGGTTACATCTCTGGTTCTGCTTTTGGCTGTTTTTTTTTTTTTGGTGTTGTTGTTGTTGGTTGTGGGGCTTGAACTCTAGACCTGGGCGCCATCTCTGAGCTCTTCAGCTCAAGGCGAGCATTTGAGTCACAGCCTCACTTCTCGTTTTCTGGTGGTTTATTGGAGATGAGTCTCATAGACTTTCCTGCCCAGGCTGGCTCTGAACCGCGATCCTCATATCTCAGCCTCCTGAGTAGCTGGCACCAGCTACTCGGCACCGTGCTTGCTGGTTACTTTGAAGTGGAATGTAGTGAGCTTTCCTGCCCAGGCTGATTTCAAACTGTGATCTTCCAGATCTTGGCTTCCTGAATAGCTAGGATTACAGTTGTGAGCCATGTCCACTCAGCTTGCCTCCCAATTTAAAGTTCACAATTACTTTAATTTTTTTTTTGTCGGTTATGGGGCTTGAACTCTGGGCTTAGGTGCTGTCCCTATGCTCTTCAGCTCAAGGTGAGCACTCTACTGCTTGAGCCACAGCACCACTTCCAAGTTCACAATTACTTTAAACCTTAAACAAAACACGTTGCCAAGCATGGTGGTGCATGCCTGTAATCCCAGCATTTATGTGGTTGTGGTGTGAGAATTGTGAGTTAAAGGCCAGTCTTTTTTTTTTTTTGGGTCCAGTCATGGGGCCTGAACTCTGGGCCTGGGTGCTGTCCCTCAGCTCTTCAGCTCAAGGCTAGCGCTCTACCACTTGAGCCACAGTGCCACTTCCGGCTTTTTTCTTTTTGCTTATGTGGTGCTGAGGAATCGAACCCAGGGCCTCAGGCATGCCAGGCAAGCGCTCTACCACTGAGCCACCTTCCCAGCCCCATGGCCAGTCTTTTTTTTGGTCGGTTGTGGGGCTTGAACTCTGGGCCTGGACGCTGTCCCTCAGCTCTTCAGCTCAAGGTGAGCGCTTTACCATTTGGGCCATAGTGCCACTTCTGGTTTTCTGGTGGTTTATTGGAGATAAGAGTCTCAAGGACTTTCCTGCCTGAGCTGTCTTTGAACGGTGATTCTCAGATCTCAGCCTCCTGAGTAGCTAGGATTACAGGTGTGAGCCACCAGTGCCCATCTCCAGGCCAGTCTTGACTATATAGTGAGATCCTGTCTTAAAAATAAGACCTGTAAGCCAGTACCAGTGGCTCATGCCTGTAATCCTAGCTATTCAGGAGGCTAAAATCTGAGGATTGGGGTTTGAAGTCAGCCTGGGCAGAAAAGTCCATGAGATGCTTAACTCCAATTAACCACCAGAAAAGCGAGAAGTTGGGGCTGTGACTCTGGTGATAGAGTGCTAGCCTGGAACAAAAAAGCTAAATAGCAGCATGAGGCCCTAAATACCGAGTAACAATATCAAGCACCAATACTGGCACGAAAAATTAAAAACATGCAGGCACAGACGAGATGCTCCCACTGGCTGCAGCACGGGAAGAGCTTGGGACCAGAGACAGTAAAGTGGGCCCACAAGCGGGGGCTGGCATCTGGCCGCGGTGCAGGGGTGGGCCTTGGCGACTGTTTCTCAAGGTCTTGCTTCACTCTCCGTCCCCAGGCAGAGCTGGCCACCTCCCACAAGTGCCTGCGCCACGAGGTGAAGCGGCTCAATGAGGAAAACCAAGGGCTCCGGGCTGAGCAGCTGCCATCCACAGCCCACCCGGACCTAGCGCAGCGCCAGGGCGAGGAGGAGGCACTGCCCAGCTCCGTGCAGGTAAGTGTGATGTGGCCATCAAGAGCCAGCGGCCACCCCATCCTTCCTTCCTCTCCCGGAAGAATAGAGGCAAGGCCTGTGACCAAAGGCCCAAAGCCGGCTGTAGTACTGTCCACCTTGGCCAACACAGTTGACTCCCCTACAACTCAGCTTCTTCATGTGAACAAGGGAATGGAGCTGTTTTCCGGTGTTAGCATGAAATGAGAGCTAACAGAGTGCTTGATGCGAACGAGGCAGCTATTTGGGTTGCTTTCTTTTTTGCATTGCTGGGGTGGAGCCTCAGGCCTCGACCGTGCAAGACAAGTGTTCTGCTGCGGAGCCTCAGCCCAGCCCTTGTATCTCCTTGGTTTGTTTTCTTTGGAAACAGGGTCTCCCTGTGTAGTCTACACAGGCTTCAAACTCACCGTCCAACTGCCTTTGCCCCCCCAAGTACTGTCACTACAAGCATGTGCCACCGCGGCTGGTACTGTTTGCTAGCTTGAAAAAAAACTTCAGGGGCTGGGAAGGTGGCTCAGTGGTAGAGCGCTTGCCTTGCATGCCTGAGGCCCTGGGTTCAATTCCTCAGCACCATGTAAGCAAAAAGAAAAAAGCCGGAAGTGGCACTGTGGCTCAAGTGGTAGAGCGCTATTCTTGAGCTGAATCGCTGAGGGACAGCACCCAGGCCCAGAGTTCAGGCCCCACGATCGGACCCCCCAAAAAAAAATTTCACTTGGGCGCTGGTGGCTCATGCCTGTAATCCTAGCTACTCAGGAGGCTGAGATCTGAGGATCACTGTTCAAAGACAGCCCAGGCAGAAAAGTCCTTGAGACTCTTATCTCCAATAAACCACCCAAAAACTGGAAGTGGCACTGTGGCTCAGGAACAGCACCCAGGCTCAGAGTTCAAGCCCCACGACCAATTAAAAAACAACAACAACAAAAAAAAAACTCCTTCCTTCTCTTCCTTCCTCTCCTTAATACTAAGGATTGAACTCAAGGCCTTGCACTTACTTGGTCGGCAAGTGCTCTACCACTTGAGCCATGCCTCCAGTTCTTTTAGTTTGTTTTGCAAGTATGATCTCAAGCTAACATTGCCTAGGTTGGCCTTCAATTGTGATCTTTCTGCTTCTCCCTCCCACCATGTCTGGCACTGTTTGATTTTTGGTTTTGCTTGTCTTTTTGTTTCTGGTAGTATGATTTGAACTCAGGGCCTTGAGCTCAAACTTGTCAGGCAGGTGCTCTTCCACTTGAGCCACCTCTCAGCCCTGTTTGAATTCATCATCTTTGAGTCCTCATATCATGATCTATGCATAGCATTTGATGGTTTAATTTATTAATAACACAGTTTAATGGCAACTTCATTTATGAAACATAAAGATCCGCCGGGCGCTGGTGGCTCACGCCTGTAATCCTAGCTACTCAGGAGGCTGAGATCTGAGGATCTCGGTTCAAAGCCAGCCCGGGCAGGAGAGAC